ACAGACTATCTTGCTGGCCAATGTTCCTCACAGACTATCTTGCTGGCCAATGTTCCTTACAGACTATCTTGCTGGCCAATGTTCCTTACAGACTATCTTGCTGGCCAATGTTCCTTACAGACTATCTTGCTGGCCAATGTTCCTTACAGACTATCTTGCTGGCCAATGTTCCTTACAGACTATCTTGCTGGCCAATGTTCCTTACAGACTATCTTGCTGTGTGAATCAGTTGTTCATTTCTCGTTAACTTGTAGAACCCATCACTACTTTCGGTCGTTCAATTGCCGTCCGACATTGACATTCGCCATTTTGTCCGACAACCTTTTTTTTGAAATAGATGAATACGTTCTTGTACGTTAAAAGATCTAGAAACACTACAATATGCCTATACAATATATACAGTCGATCTTGATAAGGTTCGTAACTAATGGGACATTTGCCATGTGATTAATGAAAGTATTGTCACTCTCCGTACGTGTAAAATGGTCCCGGATGCCAGTTGTGTTTTAGGGGAGAAATAAGGCATTTTCTGAATTCTAACATTAGATAATGTTCAACGTGCTGTTATGTAGGTGGGCAACCTTTTCAAGATCGTTTGTACGTGAAAAAAAAAGACGCTTAAGTTAAACATTGCAGTGTTATTGCAGGATAATAGTCATACACTACTCGTATATTTATAGACTTTATTTTTCTTACTGCGAGTATAAAATATTTCTAGAAAAATATTTATTATATATTAAAAATAAATAAACTATGCAAAGATACATTGTTTTTGTCCTTGGCACTTACATAATTAACCTATGATCTATACATAAGTTTAGTCCACTTTACGGTTCTTTCCGCTATCTAGAGAAGTAGTCGTGCTTTGCATCGAATAGAATGACCGCTGAGCAATTTTATGATTGATACCTGTGATTAATTGTCTGTAGTGCTAAAGGAGGGTTTTCATTATTGCCCTCGACGGTCGTCTCGCTTTGATGAAAAGACACGGCTACCATGATGGCGCAGTGATTTGTAAAAGTGACGATCATAAGTGTATCTTTATGCAATGCGAGCAAAGCATGATGGTACCGGCTCGTTTAAATTAACGTTTGCATTGCTTCATTTCGTTTTCGTGTTTTCTTTGCAAAAATGCAAGACTTTTTTTGTAATAATGCTGAAAAGTAAAAAAACACTCATCGGTCATTTTGTTTTTCGCTAAACTGGGAGTGAACTTTCAATGGTGTTGTAAATGAGAACTGTCCTGTAGCAATAAGATCGTGATCATGTAAATGAGATTTTGATCAGAAATTGACCATAAACAGCACGTTAGATGATTGACGCTTGATTTAAAGGCCGATTTTCATTTGCAATTTCAACGTAGGATTCCCTCTTAGCACACATAAAACAGCGTTTCAGCGTGAACACCGTGAATAAACACCCATCCTGAAATACAAATTAACGTGTGTTATAATAGCTGATCAAATACTTTCGAACGAAAACGGTGCACAGTACAAACTAAACTTATACCCTAGCCACACCCTATTTCCATTGTTTAATGTAGTTTCTGAACTTTGAGTGAAGACTCGGGACAGGTTTTGATCGGAATTGCAGGATTTCAAGACTTATATATCAGAGTTTTTAATTTTTCCAGTTGTACCATCACCTTAACATTCATGGTGCGTCTAAAAAGCAATCTATCTGAAAATTTGCACACAAAGTATGGTCGAAAGTCGAAATTTCCTAAAATCTTAGATAATAGATAATAATAATCTTAGATAATAACGATGATTTAAGTACCTTGACCAGAGAAGGAAAGSCTGCCCAGAATTCATAATTGGGACAAGCTTCAGGTAAAGATTGCTTGTTTCTGACTTTAACGTTGATAATGATGCCTATGACGACATACAGCAGCAACAAAACAAAGAATCTATCAAATAGAAACATGAACCAGTTAGATTAATTGGCACCGGACTATCGTGCTCTCCATTGGGCTTCTCGTACTAATATTGTTGCCATTGCTATATCAAATTCACATGGGATATAGAGGATATTACATGGATGCGTGGAGACACGAATTTTAACTTCAAATGTATAATATCGTATTTCTAAGCGCCATTGTAATGTCCTGCATTTCTTATATAAACTCAAATCTTATATCTATAAGGCATGAAATAGGACAATTTCGTACGTGGTATCCATGGTAACGTGTTATTTCACAGATATCACTTCACTTCGCACAAGGGATGTCCTGGATGTAAGCAAAGCTACGCCTTTCAATCCATCTTTCGATACACTGACTCAAACACTCATACTCAAGTTTGACATTTTTAATTCCAACCATTTTCATCACTGAATCGTCGACTCGCAAGATATTCCACGTCTTACCTGGAGTGCAATAAATAGTTTTGTAACAAGCCTACTCTTATTTATGTCTAGCTAATTGCAGACTTTGTTCGGCCGAAGGAAGTAGCCAGTCAGTAATTATTTGATCCCAGTACTTACATGATTAATAGAATACTACCAATGCTGAGACCACCAGATGACGACGATGTTGATGGGCATGCGCTCTTGGCTCGTAATATTGCTCTCTTTAAATAAAAATACATCACAATTACAGAATTCCTCCAACCACTTGATAAATAAGTTCAAATTTTGATAAAAATTAGATTCCACCCATCGACAATGTATTTGTGATAGTCGCAGTGAAATAATAATCGAAGTGATTATTAATTAATGCATCATCGGAAAAAATTTCGGGCTTCAACGACAATCAAACCCATGAGCTTTGCCGGTACAGTGGTTTACTGAGCTATGAAGGTAACGAAATGAACGTCGAAGTGAAATAATTGTTACCATCTATGTATGGGTTCACCCATTAATATGACAGCTCCTCAACATAGTTGGCTTCAAAGCTCAGTTGGTAGAGCACTGCTCTGGCATCGCACAGGTAATGGGTTCGATTCTCGCTAAAAGTTTTTTTCGGCCTTGGTACACTTATATTATTATTCTTTCACTGCAACCTTTCTTTACTTGTTCACCACAGTTCAAAACATCATTTCGACAATTTATTCGTTATGATTTTCGAAAATCTTCGAAAAGTTCTTCGGGGGGAGGCACGACAAGAGATAGTTACGAGTTTAAAAAATTTAAAAACGTGGACTCTAAATACTTACGTATATGCTACTGGGAGACTTGCTATACGGCGGTTTATATTGACTGACAGGGCTAATAGTTCCTTGCCCATTACTAGAATCACATACCAATGTTATCTCTGCTGATCTATTAAATATATATTGGTTCTTTATACCATTTACTCTAGTCTCATTATATATATAATAAAGAACTTTATAACAAACTAAGAATTCATTCAAGTCAAACGCTCGGATTCACACGGATAAGACATGATAACGCACACGTGGTCTAAACTGAATGCTGCATGGGATCACAGCGCGCGAAACTGTACCTTGTATAGTGTAGGTGGGTATTTTCTGCGTACTTCAGGACAACATTGCTGTTGTTATCAACTGTAAACATTGGATAAGCTGCTCCACAAGGGAAGTACAGAACGATGTCAGATGAAACATCCATCCTAACTTTTAGGCACAACTAAAACAAAAAAACAACTTATTTATGACATAATACTAGAACAGAGTCTTGACTATAGATTCTAGTGTTGTGTGCGCTTACAATTCTAGGATAATATAAATGTTACTTACAGCATGGTATGTTGATTCAATAATCAGTTCTTCAAGCGCCAAAAACATAACACGGAAATAGCGTATAGATCAAATTGTGCAAAAAACGCCTTGTGGTGCATAAGGAAACGCGCTTCTGTAAATCTTTGTCACGTGACTTACATTGGTGTCATTGCAGTCATTTGATTGGTTCTTGAGTGGAGTGCACGGGTTGAAACTGTACGTGAAATTATTCACCTTGGTGTCTTTAATCCCTGTAAACCTACAGTTCAGCGGTTTTCATAGTGTTAAACATATACGGTTATAATCATAATGCGGTCGATCTTTCGCTGAATCCAAATCAGTCTGTCATACCGGAGCTACGCCGGTAAAGCCTCTAGGTGTGCGTTCAATTGTGAGCTGCATAATTTGAGGCCAATAATGTGTTACTATTATCAAAGTACAAGAAACTGGACTGAACTGCGGGACTGGATCTTATGACGGATCAGAGTCAAAGGAGAGGCTGATGAGGTGAGAATATATCTATATCACCTTTTTGATGCGTATTTTAATCATTTAAAAATGATCCCTAATAATTTGTTTTAATTAGATGATTATCAAGAAAGCATATAGACTGAACTGACATAAATCAAAAGTTCCACGAACTTGGGACTCCGACCCAGGCCCTTGAAACTCTTCAATCAGAGCTTCTAAATCCCTCAACATACTTTTTTTCGACGACACTTCTTCTTTGGCAAGAAATCGGTGACTCTCGTAGGTTCCCAAGAGTAACACGAACTCTACAGGCTAAGGATTTCGAGTTGTACCGAAAGATGAAATATTTTTTTATCTATTTGGTCTAAACTAACCTTGGAGTGCCGTCCTTGTTATCAATGTCATTCAAATCAATGATTCCACTACCATCATCCATCTCACATCGACAATTGTCCAATTTTTTACACTGCTTGGCGTAAACCATACTTAGACAAACCACAAGAACTACGAGAACAGGACGAGCCGCCATGTTGATTACCTTGCTGGAAAAGTATCAGCGCTTTGCTGTAGTCTATTGTTACTATTATTATTATGTCTCGGGAACTGACTGTTATTGATTTGCCCGCCCACCAGAAGCCCTGTAATATGTTACCAAGTCAATAATCATTAACCACAATTTCAACAAAGGTTATATTTGCTTACTACGGTCACAGCCTGAGGTAACGATTCAGTACTCATTCTGCGAAGTTTGCATCTGTATACGGCCTTCAATATATATCTATATAATGTAAGGGGTATAATGCTGGAATTTAGTTCGAAATATCACTAGCTTTTGCTTATGTATGCGGAAAAAATAGCGCGCTTTAAAGGTTGTAAATTTGATGTAAATGATTTCAATTTTTTCCAGTGTATGTATATATAACCTTTATTTTAGGATTGTATTTGTTTGCTCGTGAATCTGCATATTAATAAAAAGCACCGAGTTTATGTGGCTTCAGCAAACAGTGCTGAAGTCTGGCATATAAATCAGTAAAAACTGAGCAAAGCGTGTTTTCCTGTTCCTTAGGTTCCTAGTGCCGACAAAAGATGAGAGAATCTCAAAACAGATGGACCGAACTACTCAACATGACCTCAATCTCCGGCGCATTAATGAAACGTCACTGCATGACAGGGTTCCAAGTAGCGGATGTAAAAATGACTGTCTTGACAGAAGTCTCGTGACTCTTCACCTCTGAATGAATCCCAATATTTTGGTTTCTTTTTTCCGGCTGGGTATGATGACCTTGTTATCACGCGATCCCCAACACTTTCGCTTTCAAATTGTTGTGGATTGCAAATTTTAGTTTTCTCTCTCATTTCTCCTCCTTTTCTCGTTTTCATCTTCTTCTTCAAGTGTATAAAATTTGCTATTAACGTGGTACACGTGTTGCTGGATTGTGCCGGTATTTTTCGCTGTAACAATAGTGTGCTGGTAAAAGTTAAGGCGGAGTTTTGGCGCATTTGGATTCAAAACAATATACAAAAATCAAACCAAATCTGTTAATCAACATAATGAATACGGATAACTTTTGATTTGATCCAGACACATCGCAAGCTTGGAGTTAACCTTGCCATTAACCCTAATCGATCTTTGAAAGAATGCGGTTATGATATCGGCCAGTCAAATATTGATTTTGATTTGCCCCTTAGTCATATTCCATCTTCTGAGCTGCGTGTCCGTAGGGAAGCACTGGGAACGAGGTTGAATCTCCCCAGTAAACCAAAAATATGAAATGAGATAGCGAACCATGTATTCTGATTTATTGATATATTAATATTACTAGTGTCCCAAAACCCACCTCGATCCTAGCTTCTAATATATATAATTAGTAGTATAATGTAGTCATCTGTACAAGCACTCTGATTGGTTCAAGAGAGTGATATATTTGTAAGTGATCCTCCTACGCCGCAGGCCATCGCAACACAGGAAACCCAAATTAAGGAAAAAGCAAAATTGCCGCAAGGCTGCCTGCATTTTTATCGAGACAATGTGGGAAAACAATAAGCGATTGTAATTACCATTGTCTATCGCTCAGATCTACTAACCGAAATCCAAGAATATTGATGACAATGATGGTTTGTTTGAATACGCAGTGACTGCTGGTCATCGGCTACTCATTTCAATAGTGACTCGTAACACACGTGATTCAGTGTGTTGCGTCGTGATTCCCGTTAATATTTCATGTATGAATCACTCAGCTGTAGCACCACACACTAAACACAAGGCGGAATTAACCAACCCTAACCCTAGCACCACACACTAAACACAAGGAGTCTGCGAATTAACCAACCCCAGAAGCTCCGATCTCGTTTAGTCTGCTTCTAGTTCTTTTTAGAAAAAATCATTAAGATATCATTAAGTCCCACTATTTCCCTGGATGCTTTGCGATCGTTTGTTTTTGTTTTGAAAAGAAATCCTTGTTTTTGTTCTTGGCTGAGTTTTTTGTGTCGATTTATTCATTTTTACTCCCTTCATTGAAATCTCAGTAATGGACAGGTCTGACATCGCTGTCTAAATAACTTCGCGCAACACAAAATTATGACGAGGCGCGCAAAGCATACAGGGTGATGCTGTATTTCTAGGATGTGTTATTTGTTGCTGTGGGTGTACAATTATTTTGATGCGCATTCAGACAACGCGATGCATCAATTGTAGTTGTGGAGGGACTGCTATTTTGATGATCTTTATGACAATGAGTTTCTTCATTTTTTGTGGCTGAGCTATTCTGATCTTGGTGTTGAAGTGCATCTTTTGTCGTGGACGGACTGTTATTTCCATGTGCTTCAAGACAATGTGATGATGCATCATTAGTTGTTGTAGAAGGTGAACTATTTTTATGTGCTTTCAGACAATGGCGCTTCAAATGTATCTTTTGGTAAAATGCATCATTACACAGTGAACATTTGTGTGGTTTCTCGCCAGTGTGTATTCGTTCATGTAACGTTAGACATTCTTTACGATGGAATTTCTTTTCGCAATAAGAGCATTCAAATGGCTTCTCCCCTGTATGTAATCGAACATGATCTCTCAGTCCTCGTCTTGTTGCAAATTGCTTTGTGCAGTAAGAACAGTCCCACGGTTTCTCTCCAGTATGTGAACGTACATGCGTAGAGAGATCGCTACTTGATTTGAATGCTTTTTCACACTGACAACATTTATAAGGTCGTTCACCAGTGTGAACCCTTGTGTGAATAACAAGGTGCATTTTAGATCGGAATGCTTTATCGCAGAAAGTGCATACAAAGGGCTTCTCGTCAGTGTGGATTTTCATGTGAACCTTGAGATGGCCGGCTTGACGGAAGCTGCCGTTACACTCGTTACATCTGAACGGTCGTAGACCCGAGTGTGTCTTTAGATGCTGTGTAAGAACACTTCGAAACTGGAACGATTTATTACAGATTGTACACTTATGAGGTCTTTCATTAGTATGAGTTCGTAGATGTCCACGAAGATGACTTCGCTGACTGAACGATTTGTCACAAGTGTCACATTTAAACGGTTTCTCCCCAGAGTGTTTACGGATATGGTCGGTTAGATGGCATCGTTGGCTGTAGCTCTTGTCGCATTGATCGCACTTGTATGGTCTTTCGCCTGTGTGACATCGTAGATGTGAGTTGAGGCTGCTTTGGAAGTCAAAGCTTTTATAACACGCTGTACACTTAAAAGGCTTGTCATGGACGGCTGCAATATGTTCATCAAGATGTTGGGTACTCATAAACTCTGCTAAACACATTGTGCATCTGGGTTGACGGCTTGAAGTACTTGCTGTACATTCACCAACATTGACATGAATTGTATCGTTTGGTAGTTCAACTGTAACTGGAAATTCTTCTTCGCCTTCAACACCTGCATTGGCGCTGGCAGCTGTAGATGAAGAAGTAGCTGCAGTAGAAAGAACGTTATCTTCGCTGGTAGCAGTACATCCCCTCGCTACACTATCATCACACATGCTATCATCACCGCTTTCAGCAGGTTGACGTCGTTCTACACGTTGAAATTCAAGCATTTCTGGCAGATTTTGTTGTACTTGACCGTTAGCATAGTGATAGATTCGACCAAGGAATTCATCTTCTTCAGAGTCTAAAGTGTTGAGAGGAGTGAGTAGTGAGCAAAGCGGGGTTTTGTCTTTACTAATAATAGCGTTATTGGCGTATATAGAAGTACAGCCATTTCTACAGCCATTATCATCGGTCTGTGTAGAGGCTTCCTTTAGTAATAGTTGTTTGTTGGTAATATTCTTACCTGATACCTAGAAATATACAAATAGCTGGGTATTATATGATTACAATGTTCAATAAATAACAATGGGTAATAATCTGGAATTATCCCCTGGATTGCGCTGGAGCAATCATATTGTCACAGTGTAATAAAGAATATTCAGTGGGAAGTAGGAGTATTGATGATAATTGTAATGATTAGAGTGCATGTCAGACATCCTAATTTAATTTTTATAGGTATATTGTATATATCTACAGTTTATAGGTATATTGTATATAATTATCTACAGTTTATAGGTATATTGTATATAATTATGTACAGTTTATAGGTATATTGTATATATCTACAGTTTATAGGTATATTGTATATATCTACAGTTTATAGGTATATTGTATATTATTATCTACAGTTTATAGGTATATTGTATATATCTACAGTTTATAGGTATATTGTATATATCTACAGTTTATAGGTATACAGTATATCTACAGTTTATAGGTATATTGTATATATATACAGTTGCTTATTATTCTATTGGCCAACAAAAAGTTAAAAACTAGGTAGACCAATGGATTATAATTCATATTAATTAGTGAAAAATATAGAGAGATAAAAGAATATTTAGATAGTAACTAAATAATTAGAATTGTGCAGGAAATGAAGTTAACAGTTAAAAGATAATGTCTGGAGAAAATACAAAGTAAAATATAGCACTGAAAATATGAATTATGTGATTGACATTATTATATCACTTGATCAACCAAACTGTGAATGGACATCAAGGCTTTGTTGTATGTATGGCAACTATCCTATTTCCAAAGGGATAGCTGAGCATATATTTTATAATAAACTGATGTCTTACTTTGCTTGATTGATCTGTAATTTGCCATTTTTGTTGGGATTCCTGTCTTGCCTGGTTTTCAACCTCCATTAATCAAACAATCTGATAAATAAAAATCAATTATGTACATGTTAATGGTACGTCAGGTTTATAGACAATAGTATGATAATGATTAACTTTATTTCAAATAGTGCTGTAATTCGGATTTACAATATTGTAAAAAGAAAAGAAAAAAAAAACAATCAGTTGTACATTTCTTGCACTGAATAACAGAACTTGATGTTTAGTGATGAAGTGCTTGAAATACAGGATGTATACTGGAACTCATGAGAGTGATTTGCCTATCTTTGTTCAGTATCCGTACTTTTTACTTGTGATTTTTTTAAAGTTGAATATATTCAATTGCCAAATCATTGGTGCTGTGCTCTGCCGCATATTCATCACAATGAAACTGTGAGAAACAAATTATAGAAATTTAGATTATTTACTAATTTTGCCAATTTCCCAATTACACAGTTATGTGATCTTCTCCACCATTTTACTCCGAAGATATTGTTGAAATTACACATGCGCACACGAATTAGAACTATCCCGTGACAAGAACCATGTCAGGTTCAGATTCAACAATATTGGTTCTACTATTAGAGTACTTTCACCATACCCTTGCAGGGCTCAAAATAACAGCCTGACATATGCAGGACAAGATGCCCTTCCAAATTCATTTTTGGAAGGTCATGTCAATTTTGAAAGGGCAAGAAATTTATTATTTATATACCATTATTTTCTTTTAATGTTTTTTATTGTCTAGTGATCTACATCATATATTTGCACTATTTCWCCCATGGGTTATTACTTTTTCATGCTTTTAGTATTTGCACTCTAACACAAATTGATCCAGAGTTCCAAATTTATAAATTAAAAGGCTTTTATAGTTGCACAAAATACAATTATTTTTCATCACTTTTCCTGCTAGCAGAGTCTCTCTTATCACAATCCCAAAGAAAACATGGGAGACTCTGCAAGCGGGAATTTATCAGTTCACAATAAAAAATAATGTAAAATATTAAATGTGAGCTCTTCTAATTCAGTGAAATTTGGGACACATAACAAGCAAGTGTGAGAAAAATATCTTACAAATAATAACAATCATTCATCATAAAATGCTTTGTACATGCAAGGAACCATGGGTTAACATTCTGTATATATATATATATATATAATATACTCTCAAATGCGAAAAATTGAATGCACCTTTGCCATCTTTTGTGTCTTCTCATTATCATCACAAATATTGAAGTCAACACATGTAGGATTCGGCGGCTGAGTAGACTTCGAAAATTAAACCACTACATCATGTCGTCAGATTTTAGTCTGAAATCATACTTGCGATTAAAACATTTGCAATCACCCCTATCATTTCCGACTTTTATATAAATTTTGGACCTAAATAACACGACCACGTTTGTAAAGAGCATGTGCTGTCAATAAAGTTATACTCAAGAGAAGTCGCACAAGTTCGCTTTTTACGAAATATTTCCCTAAACTTATTTCAACGTTTCACTCAAGGAAAAAATAACTTAAACGATAACTTAAACGATATCTATATCAAATGACTTGATTTAACGCAAAAGTGTTGTGAAACCGAAGTAAACGGAACTGAAATGACAAGATAGCGAATCTATGGCCGCATGATTTCGCTTGTTCACGACACTCGATTACGGGTGAAATACTTTATTAACCTACCTTGAGTTATGGTACACAAATCGCGAAATAGTCTCCAATTAAAGGCAAAAAATGTCTTTGAATAGACGCTTACAAAATGAATAAAATTCAATGCCTTTGAAATGGCCGCACAATCCGACAACAAAGCGACGAAAAATACCAGGCGTTACTAACAAATGCCTCGCTTTCAAAAATAAACGACACAGGAAACCCGACAACGTGTCAACATAGACGTCAACGTTTACGCTGTTGGTTTGGATTTCGGTAAAATCAACAGAAATTGTCTCCATGATAACCATGAGCAAATTCCAACTTCACACGTTAAAATCAAACCCTGACCTCCATGACCCTAGTATAGCCGTATTAGGGACTCAGATGGGATGATCACAGAACGCACCTGTAGGACCATAGACAGGCCATTGTATGAGAGGATGGACGAAAATGGATTGGAAACTAACATAGCTTTCCCGACGAAGACGCAGAAAATTCTATCAGATGCATTTTACAAGAAACCACAGTACTAGAAGCACCTTCATCCACTTGACTTTCTTGAATCATGTTAATAGTGGGTTACCTGTGTGTTCAGCATGGCGGCTCGTCCTGTTCTCGTAGTTCTTGTGGTTTGTCTAAGTATGGTTTACGCCAAGCAGTGTAAAAAATTGGACAATTGTCGATGTGAGATGGATGATGGTAGTGGAATCATTGATTTGAATGGTATTAATAACAAGGACGGCACTCCAAGGTTAGTTGGTCACCGTGTAACATATAATGTACTGTTCTGTAATCGATATCTCTGTCCGTTTTGAGGTAACGTGTCCAATATGTTTGAACAGGATACAACAAGAGCAATCCTATTTATTTGAGAGAAATTTCTAGGTATTGTGTTAAAGGGTTTTTCTGTACAAGCAAATCTATTTCAACGTTAAGGCCCTCGATTGTAGGATTGATCTGTGTTTACCATCCTATGCGGTCAACCGGAAATACTTCTTGTGTGGAGAAAACAGTGCGTACTTGATACATACTGATACGGCACCTATTGAGATATAACCCACATTATAGCAGGACTGTATCACTGAAAATCATGCATGATATGGAAAGCCATGAAATTACAGCTGTCAAAAGTAGTTATCATATGGTAATCTACCATTGCATGCCTGAGTTATAGAGTAGGAATCAGGGCCGTAAAAGAGAAGGGTCCTCATAGTGCACGTGCAAAATGTACCCTTCAAGAAGAAGGCGTCAAGAGTGCTACACGAATGGCATCATATTTCTGAAAACGATTTGCGCCTTCCAAAATAGAAAAATCTTTATTTTTTTTGCGTCATCGATTCATAATGCAAATGAAGATAAAGAATTTTTAAGCGTTTGCTTTAGCCTTTTCCCCAGGTGTCCTTTGAAACGTTCATATAGACCGCCAGGGCCAGAGACTAGTGACACGAAAAAGGAAAAATAAGAAGGGGAGGAGAGCTCGAAAGTAACTGAATTATTCTAAATACTTTTTTATTGTTTCCTTCGTGATATCNGCTCGGTTGGTTGGTTGGTTGGAGGTTCGATTGCTTAGTTGGATTGGTCAGTTGGTTGGTTGGTTGGTTTGGTGTGTCGGTTTATTGAGGTGGTTTRATCGGTCGCTCGGTCGGTTGGTTGGTTGGTTGGTGGGTCCATTGCTTGGTTGGATTGGTCAGTTGGTTAGTTGATGAGTCGGTTGGTTGTTTGGGATGGGCGGGTTGGTCGCTTGCTCTCAGTTCGATCGGTTGGTGTGTGGTTTAGTTGGTATTCTTCTGAACGTTTTTAACATAGTTTGTATCTATAGTGACATCGTTTAATTTCACAGCAAGGGACATTGAGGGGAAAGAGTGGATGCCCTGTGCCACTACTCAGTGAGAGGGACTGGAGGGACCGTGATAAGATGGTAAGTCAGGACGTGCAATCGTTTGACGCATGTGGTTCTACAAGCCATCGAGCAGTAGCCTGGGAGAACTCCGGGGAAAAGTACAGGGAATGCTCGTGGGAAATTTTCAAAGATCCCGGAAGTCTGGAAAAACGGCGTGGCAGTGGTCGTTTGAATGAAACTGTGATCGCCTCGAATTGTAGCGATGTCATGAAAACTGTGTAGCTTGTTTCACGGATATAATGTATATACTGACAATAATATTTGGTGACGGTAATTTTATGCCCTTTTGTCTCAGCAGTGATCCTAGAATATTCACTGCTATCTTCCCCCAGGATCGAGTTAACATCATGGCATAAACTGCAATCAAATATGTAGCCGAGGTATTTAACTTGATACATCTTGTTTAATCTTTTTTCCAGATTTTCTGAATGACCTGTCGTCCATTAGATATTTTTTTAAATTCCTTTCAACTGCATGTCGAGGAATGGATTTGCGCTTTAATACAATCAGTTTAGAAGATCTATCTAAAAGACGTAAGAAATGAGCTACACATGTTCATTATAGTATTATAGTTCAAGAAGAAGACGTTTACAGACAAGAATGTATGATTTTTTCTGTTTTACGAATAAAACTGCTGGCTGTGAAACATTTTGTATAGTTTTGAAATAAAATATTTTGTTGTTATCGCATCTTTTCCCTCCACTCTTCTTTCCCCCTCCACTGCACAACCCCTCAAGAGAGAGAGGTAAAGAAGCTTATGAATTATACACTGTATAGTGAGTCAAATCATATCTTATCATATCTATTCTCTGATACTCTAAGATTCGAATTCTGTTTTGTACAAGCTTAGCTTTAATCAAGTATAAATTTTTATGGCTTTTGTACACAGTGCTTTTGCATTTACAACACAATAGATCTCTGCTGATAAAAGACAATTATTATTATTATTATATATTAAATATTAATATAATAAATATATTACAGACATGCTTTCGAGGTTAAGGCTGCACAAAAAAGATCGCGAAACTGGAGTATTCACTGATCTGTGAGGGAGTAGAAGATTAATATAACATTGTTATTGAAAGAKTTGAATGAACAAACAAACTCAATCGACCTTAACGTCACAAGTTTGTCATGCGTTTGCATTATCACAGGGAACCCATTCATAAAAGATTGCGAAACTGCCAGTCCATCTATTTTTGTCACTATAAAACTTATTATTAGTCGTTCAACCAAATCTGTATTTCTATAGTACAAGTAATATTTCGCTCCGTGCAAATCATTAATAAACTGTTTTTAAAAATCATAATTCTGGGTTACCTGTGTGTTCAGCATGGCGGCTCGTCCTGTTCTCGTAGTTCTTGTGGTTTGTCTAAGTATGGTTTACGCCAAGCAGTGTAAAAAATTGGACAATTGTCGATGTGAGATGGATGATGGTAGTGGAATCATTGATTTGAATGACATTGATAACAAGGACGGCACTCCAAGGTT